GAGTCCCACATCAGGCTCCCTGCTCGGCGGGGTCCTGCTTCTCCCTCTCCCATTCCCCCTGCTTGTGTTCCTGCTCTCGCTATTTCTCTCTCTGTCAAATAAATAAATAAAATCTTTAAAAAAAAAAAAAGAAAAGGCAAAACTTGTCTAGAAATCTCCAGCAGATTTCTCCTATGTTTCATTGGTTAGAGCTGGCTTTGAGGAGCTTGCCGCTCAGTGAGGAGATACACGTGTGCACACGCAATTTCAGTATGCCTGGGTTCTGATTTCCAGTGTGTTGGCTTGGGAGCCATGGAAGTGTCAAGTAGTGTATAAAGATTTACACTGAAATTTTAAGAAATTAACTAAGGGCTAGAGATACGTTTTAGTAGGTTGAAAAATGTTGGTTTTCTACTTGATCATCACATTATCACGAATAGCAAACATACCATTTATGGAAAACTTGCACATTGAAAATGCTTGTTTCTAAAAATGCTTATTTATAAAGCCTCAGAATTCACTAATGAGGTCTGATCACATGGCAGATCATTCTTTAACCACTGGCTGTTCTGTGCTCCAAGGTCTCCATTACCGGAATGTTTGCATAGAAGATTCCGTGCTCTTCCAAACTCAGCACTATCATCTTGGTGACATCTTTCAATGAGGTGAGCTACGTGGCCAATGTCATAATCCCTTTGCAACTTGAAACTTTTACTGACTCCAGTCAGGATTTGATTTTCACTCGTGCTTAATCTGAGAGCCCGTGTACAATGGTCATTGGCATTTTCTGGTTACACGTCCGCTCAAAAGTGTAAAAACGCTCAAAAAACATGCATCTCTAGAGGAAAGGCACAGACTCCTGACCAGGCCAGCGACATTGTCATGAGAGGCCCCGGAAGTGGATCTCGCCTGGGAGGTGGCCCTACCATGCTGGCAAGTCTCTCTGTCTCCAAGGTTGTGGGCTCTTACAGCCTGTAAGAGACCACAAAACCTTTGCCAGGCAGTTTACATCAGATGGCCCTTAAATGTGTGTGTTCGTGCCCATGTGTGCCCACGTGCCCACATGTGTTCATTTGAAATTTTTTACTTTCTAAAATATTTCATTCTGAAAAGGAAGCAAAGGGTGTGATGTTTCCATAGGGTGACCCCTATGTGCTACAGGAACCCAAAGGAGGTGCATTGTGTTTGAGGGGTCAATCAAGACCCCGCAGGGGGTGTGGTATCTGAGCTGACACTTGAAGGATTTTGAACTCCCTTCCTTGGACCCCCATCCCCTTCTGATTTCGGGCAACCCCATCCTGGAGACTGGGGAGCAAAGCCTCCTTGATGGAGACAGGAGGCGGGGTGGGGGCAGGGGGTGGGGGCGGCGGGTACCAGCCTCACTGCCCCCGAACTCCTCCCGGATGTGGTTCATTTTGCTTTGTGTTGATTGCTTCAGCCTGAAGTTCAGACAGTGACCTTTCTGAGCCTTCCCCAGGGCTGAGCTTCACTGTGGACATCGAGGATTGCGACCGTCTCCATCTCTCCACCTGAACGCGGAGGATTCTTTTCCCCTTCTGCACAGGAATGGCCTCTACTCATTATCGAGATTTCCATGACAGCTTTTAAATGTCAGTTTTGTGAGTTTTAACACAGAACATTTGAAAACAGTTTTCTTTTTGGCTTATCCACCACAGTTTGAAAACAGAGTTTGGTGTTTTTATTGTTTCTGACAGTCCTCGCTGCCCATTTCTCTTCCTAGTAGCCTAAGTATTTCCAAAGGGTTTTAATATAGGCCCCAGCTCTGTTCTAAGGGGATGAAAGCAAACACATTCCTGGTTCCAGCGCTGTCACGGCCCACGCACCCGCCCAGGCGCAGGTGAGAACAGTTGGAGGGAAGGCTGGGGTGGGCGCTGGGCAAGCATCAGCCACCCAGAAGCAAGGCTGGGAGCACAACAAGCACGCAGTGGGGTCCCCCAGATGCCCAGAGCTATGCAACGATGAAGAATTCGTGGATCTCCTAATTCCTCCCTGCACACCCTTGCTAACAGATTCCCCTGCCACCCGCCTTACCCCAGCCTCTCCCTTTCTGCAACAAACGGCTGCAGTCCAGGAACCTGGGTCAGGCTGGGAGATCAGGAGGAGACAGGATTCCGTCCCTCCCCAGAGAACCCCGGGTCTTCCGCTCTTCGTTCTTCCTGCTTTGCTGGTGTGCTGGTTGGTTGTTCACTAGCGTAAAAGTGCTCACTTCAATGTTTAGCCTAAAGCGTTGGGATGTTGCCGTATTATCCAAATGTTATGCTACCAGTGATTATTTTCAAGGAGCTGGAAGGCTTTTCAAGTGAAAATGTTGATCCTATCAGGAAGTAAATTGCTTACTTAGAAGGGAGGGTGTTTAATGCTGCGCTGGGCGTCTAGATTATTACTCACTGTTCTAGACGGGGCCATTCAGTCTGCGTGACAGGCTGCTGACTGGGATGGGTCCCTGTGTTTCCTGCTGCTGGCCAGTGAATGCTAACTCCAGTGGATTCAGGCTCTTAGTGGGCCAATCTGGAGCTTCCTTGGAAGCCGTTCCCCTTGCGGATGGTTCCAGATGTGGGCTCCGGGTCAGTTCTGAGGGGATTTCAGGTTTAAGGACCTTAGGTAGAGCCCTATTACCCCTCACTTGTTCTCTCTCTCTCCTCCTCAGTCCCCAGGTTCCGCCAAGGACACAGAGAAACTGTGACATGGAAACGTGACCTGATTGAAAGCCTACGGTGTGCCAGGCTCTGTGCTAGGTACTTTAGGCACTATTTTTCTTCCAAGCTTCTGAAAAACCTAGGAAATGGATCTTATTATAATTTCCGTCTGGTAGATGACAGGTTCAGAAAAGGTAACTACGTATATGACTCGTAAGAGTTAATCTGGTTCCAAAACCTGTGCTCTTTCCAGTCACACTGTGCTGAGTCCTAAAGTTCCAGATTGTTCTAAGTTCCTTAGCTACTCCCATCAAGTGTGGGCAGGGATGGAAGAGAGAAGACAGAGAGACACCATATCCTAGGGCACCTGAGATAAGGCCAGGACACCCGGGATCGGTGCTACTGGAAGGAATTTTCTGGGAGCCTATTAGTGACCAGAACAAGGGTCACTGGTAGCTATACAACCCCTGCGGACCCCAGAGGGCTGACATCCAGAAGGGCAGTGACAGGGGGTCCCTCAGCTCGTTTAGATATTTGATAAGAGCTAAGAGAAATCGTATCTTGATCTGCACTAAGGTTAGGCAGATAAGGTTAAAATGCTGAAGGTTAAAATTGCTTTGTTCCTGGGGGGAATCACATCAGCTCCAGGCATTTGCCACAGTTATCCTGTGCTCATCAAAACTAATGTTGGTAGTTATCTCTCTTTTTTGTTCCTAGATTTAATCATCAGAAACAAATGAACTGGAGTGTTTGCAAGAGAAGAAAACACATCGGTGCCTTTTGCAAATGGCACTGGGGCAGAGAGGGTCTGTGGGCTGTCCCCGCCCCCCCAAACTGATCCCCACCAAGCAAAGATGCCCACAGTGGTCCTAGTTGTCTGTTCCCCCACCAAAAAAAGAGGAGGTAGGAATCTGCGGGCCCCATGAACTCAGGTCCTCTTGCCTGTCACTCACTCCTGATCAGCGTCAGGAGCCCCCATGACCTCTCTGGTTATTGCCCTTTGTGTTATGGCTCGAGGCAACATCATCAACCTGCAGAACAGGACTGCTGTGTTCACAGAAGTCTTTGCCATGTCTCAGCCAATGGCTACCCGATGCCCAGTTCTTTCCTGTCCTCTGAGTCCAACCAAGTCTACCCCAGGTCTCGCAGTTCTCCTGTGGGTAGTGGTTGGCCTTGAGGGAGGCAAGCATGAGGATTCTCTCTACAACACCTATTTACAAAATTTATAAAAATGAGGTGATGTGGAAACTGTGGAGAAGAAGATGTAATAGAAGGGAAGATTCAGTGTATTGAGCCTTTGAAAAGGGGAGTCAGTGAAACCTAAGCTCGTCTAGAAGAGTTTTGGGGTAGGTTGTACAACTTAACTTGAGGGAATATGGTCCAATAGAGTGCTTCCCATCCTCTTTGGTGTCACAGTACACAGAGAATATGATCATATTTGAACCACACACTGGGGGACAAGGTAAAGAGGTGTGGTGACTCAAAGCCAGAAGCAAAAGCCCAAGAAGCTCTGGAATCTTCGGCCCCACTGCCAGCCCAAGAACTGAGGGACCAAAGTCTAGGCACACCAGTGGGGACCTCTGTACTAGTCAATAGGATGAGCTGATGAAAAGTCAGTGGAACCCAATCCTATTACTACTGATGTGGGTATTTCTCAGGCAGCTCGGGAACCAACACAATTATTTGGGGTCTGGAGCAACCTCTTAAACCCTCCCTCTCTGGGCCCAACCCCCACCCCAGTCTAATCCCCCAGCAATACTGAACTCCTGATGGCAAAGAAGGGTCATTTTGATGACACGTTATCAATTCTGTTTCTCTCAAAGAGCCAGAACGTTAACAGTGCACTAGAAGAGCATCTGAAGGGTGAGAATTTGTCTCTGATTCACATAATTACTGGGCATTTAGCACATAATCTCTTCTTTCCATGAAATCTTTGAAAAAGGGGTCTCTAGTTTGAAATGTGACATCCACCAAAAAGTCTAAGGATATAACCTCTAATTGTATTTTGGATAATCCTCACCTTGCCACCTTTTAGGTCTAATGTAAAACCATTTTTAAGTGGTCATATTTTTTATAATTTATTATACCTTCAATTAAAGTTATGATATAACTAAATATCACAGAGATATGTGATACCCTGGACTGAAGTCCCAGGACCACTACAAAAAATAACCTAACCAAAGAAAAAAGTAACCTAAACTTGCTCAATCTGTTTATCAAATTTAATTTAATAAGTGGTTTTGATGTGACCCAGAAATCCTACTCCTAGATTTATGTACCCAAGAGCAATTTGGGTATAGATCTGCCAAAAGATATATATACAAGAATGTTTATAGCAGCTTTATTCATAAAAATTCCAAATTGGAAATAACCCATACATCCATCAATAAGGAAATGGATAAATAAATTGTGCTACACTCATATAGTGGGACACAAATCAGCAATAAAGGCTACAGACCACTGAAGACACATAGATGAATCTCACAGACATTATGTTGAGCAATGGAAGCCAGACACAAAAGAGTATGTATTGTATGATTTCACTTATATGATATTCAAGAACAGGGATCTGGAGTGGTAACCTCCAGACGGAAAACCAGGGATTGACTAGAAAGCGAGCAAGGAATTTTCTGGACACATATGCTGAACATGTGCTATGTCTTGATCTGAGTGGTGGTTACAAAGGTGTACACATATTTAAACCTTGAGTAGCACACTCCAGATTGGTACATTTTATGCACTTTACTGTATGTATATTAAAGCTCATTAAAAAAAGAAAAATGGACTTGACATGCATTTAGTGCCTAGGAAAATTCCCCTAGTGACCTAACTTCCCCTTGTGTTAAAAATAATAATAAAGAAATATAGCTAGAAGTTGAACCAGGCAAGGCCAGGACCCTCTGGGAATGAACATCACATCAGGATCTTTTGAAAAAACCATTGAGTGAAATCAGTAGACACCCCTCTGCTGACCTGCTCCATCCTAAAGTCTCACCAAAGGGCTCATTCTACCCCTTCTGCCTTCCACTTTCACATTTTCCTCTCTGGGGTTTGTTATGGGCTCAATGGTGTCTCCAAAATTCGTATGTTGAAGCCTTAACCCTCGGTGCGACTGTACTTGGAGATAGGGTCTTTAAAGAGGTAATTAACATTAAATGCAGTCATTAGGGTGGGCCCTAATCTAATCTGACTGGTGTCCTGATTAGAAAAGGAGATTTGGACACAGACACACTCAGGGGAAAGACGGTTTGAAGACACAGGGAGAAGAGGGGGAAGCCAAGGAGAGAGGCCTCAGACAGAATCAACCCTGCCAACATCTTGATCTAGGATCCTAGCCTCCAAAACCATGGGAAGATGAACTTCCATGGTTAAGCCACCCAATCTGTGGTACTTTGTTATGGCCCCCCAAGCTGAGAGAGGTTCTCTCCCCAGTTGAGACGACTCACATTCCCGCTCTTGCTTCCGGCCAACTGTGCGGACTTCACCTAAGTAGCCTTAACCTTATCCTTAATCTGTGCCCAGACCTCAATTACAGAAGACATTTGGCATTCTGGACCCAGGACATACTCCAAGAACAAACCACTGTAAACAAGCACAGGAAGTCCAAGCCCATTTTCTGAAAGAGGGAATAAAGAAGAGGTATGGGAATGGAGTTTAACACACTCACAGTGACCCAGGCAACGTGTCTGTCTCCTTCAAGCGTCTCCCAAAGAGAGGTCATTGTTCTGCCTGATTTTAGGACCTTTTTTAAAAAAGAGAGAAGTGAGTGATCGAGCAGATGAGCGCTACAGCATCAAAGGGCTGTGCTTTTTATGTCAACATTGTTAAAGCCATGAGAAGAAGGGGTAGACATAGTTTTTCCCTTTCCATTTGCTAAGACCAACTAGAAACCTCGGACATGTGTATAAAACCATGACAGAAGAGGGCAAATGGGCTAGAGAACTTGGGACCCAAAGAATGACACTGTGGTGAGTTCCCTGGGCTTCCATGTTTTCCCATGTGTCCAGACATGGAGCTGAAGAAGCAGGCGACTGGAAAAACCCATGTACACAGAAAAAAGAAAGCCCACTCTCTCTGGCCAAAGGACCAGGAAAGGGACAGACAGGTTATTTTAGACAATAACTGTTCTCTTCCAGTCAAACACCACAGAAAAAACCTGTGGCCCCAGTCCTTGGCCAGAAAAGGCCAAGTGGGGAGGCTAGACTTTCATCTTCACAGGCGGCAGTGGAATACCCTTCTCCTCTCCCTCCCCTGTCCTCACAGGGGGGATGTCAGAGAAGAGTAGGGAGTTGGAACTTCACCTTTCTGGGTGAATGGCAGCAATGGCAGAATGGACTTTTTCACAAGTGCCTACAGACTGGATATCGAGATAGACCATATCCTGGGCCATTAAATTTTTTTTTCAAGAAATTTAAAAGGCTTGAAATCATGCAGTGTTTTCTCTGACCATAATGGAATCAAACTAGAAGTCAATAACAGAAAGATAACAGGAAAATGTCCAAACACTTGGAAACTAAACAACAGTGTTACTGTTTCTTTAGCAGATTGACTCTTTAATCATAATATAATCTCCTTATCTGTCTTTGTTAATTCTTTTTGCTTTAAAGGCTACTTTATCTGGTATTATTATAGCTACTCCTACTTCTCTTTGATTGATGTTTACATGATATATCTTTTTCCATTGTTTTTCCTTCCAACCTGCCTAAATCATTATATTTGAAGTGGGTTTCTTGTAGACAGCATATAGTTGAGTCGTGTTTTTAAAGTCACTTCACTAATCTCTTTTTTAATTGGTGTATTTAGACCATGTACAGCACTGAATGCTTTCCACTTAAGATCAGGAACACGGCAAGGATGTCCACACCCACTACTCTAATTCAACATGGTGCTGCAAGTTCTAGACAGTGCAGTAAAGCAAGAAAAGACATACAGATCAGAAAGGAAAAAATAAAACTGTCCCTATTTGCAGATGACATGATTGTCTACATAAGAAACCCTAAGAATTGATTGAAAAGACTCCTAGAACTAATAAATGAGTTCATCAAGGTCACAGGATACAAAATAAGCATACAAAAACCAATGGTATTTCTATATACTAGCAATGAACGCATGGACACTGAAATTAAAAATACAATACCATTCACAATTCTAAAAAAAAAAAAAAAAAGAAAGAAATACTTAGCTGCAAATCTAGCAAACCAGTCTTAAGATCTGTATACTGAAAACTACACAATGCTGATGAATGAGAGCAAACAGGGTCTACATAAATAAACTTACCTTGTTCATGGATCAGAAGACTTAACATAGTAAAGATATCCATTCTCCCCAAATTGATATACAGGTTTAATGGAATTTCTATCAAAATCCTAGCAAGATTTTTTGTACATAAAGAGTAAATATTACTCCGAAATGTATATGAAAAGGCAAAGGAAGTAGAATAGCTTTTTTTAGAAAAGTGAAAAAGAAGAATAATGTAAGAGGAACCTATCTGATTTCAAGACTTATTATGTAGTAAGTAATCTTACACAGTAAGGAACCAAAACTATGTGGCACTGTTAGAGGGCTAGGCACATAAAGCAATAAATAGAATGAGGAACCCGGAAATAGATTCACACAAATATGCCCAATTGACTTTGGACAATGATGCAAAAAACAGTTCAATGGAGTAAAGGTAGTCTTTCCAACAAATGGTACCAGAGCAATTGGACGTCCAGACACACACACACAAAATAAACCTAAGCCTCTGTCTCTCACCTTCTACAAAAATCAACTCAAAAGGGACCACAGACTTAAATGTAAAAATATAAAATGTTTAGGAAAAAAGTACAGGAAGATTTTGAGATTAAAAGCTAGGCAAAGACCTTTTAGACTTAACACCAAAAAACACAATTCATAAAAGAAAAATAGATCATTGGATTTCATTAAAACTGAAAATTTTTGCACTATCAAAAACGAAATTAAGAAAATGAAGAGACAAGCTACCAATGGTGAGAACATATTTGAAAACCACATACCCAACAAAGGACTAGTCTCTCAAATATATAAAGTATTCTCAAAATTCAACGGTAAAAAAAAAAAATCTCATTAGAAAATGGACAAAACACATGAAGCTAGATTTCACAGAAGAGACCTACAGATGACAAATACACATACAAAAAGATGTCCAGCATCTTTTGCCATGGGGGAAATGCAAATTAAAACACACTTATCAGGATAGCAAGGATGCAGAGAAACTGTATTACTCATACATTGCCGGTGGGAGTGCAAAAATGGCTCAGCCACTTTGGAAAACAGCAGTTTCTTAAAAAGAATAAACCTAGGGCGCCTGGGTGGCTCAGTTGGTTAAGCGACTGCCTTCGGCTCAGGTCATGATCCTGGAGTCCCGGAATCAAGTCTCACATCGGGCTCCCTGCTCAGCAAGGAGTCTGCTTCTCCCTCTGACCCTCCTTTCTCTCATGCTGTCTCTCATTCTCTCTCTCTCAAAAAAAAAAGAAAAAAAAAAAATCTAAAAAGAATAAACCTGCAACTACCATATGACTCAGCAATTGTGCCGCTGGGCATTTATCCCAGAGAAATGAAACACATTCACACAAAAACCTGGCACAAATGTTTATAGCAGCTTTATTCATAATAGCCCCAAGCTGGAAAAACCTAGATGTCCTCCGGTGGGCAACTAGTTGAACAAACTGGGGTACCCTCTTACCGTGGAATACTCCTCAGCAATAAAAAAGAATGAACACTGATACACATAACAGCCTGGATGAATCTCTAGAGAATTAGGCTGAGTGAACAATTCAATCCTATACGTGATTCCATAGATAACATTACTGAAATGACAAAATCATAAAAACGAAGAACAGATTAATGGTTGGCATGGGGCAGTAGGGAGGGAAGTGAATTTGGCTCTAAAATTTCAACACAAGGGCTCCTGGGTGGCTCAGTCTGTTAAACGTCTGCCTTCAGCTCAGGTCATGATCTCGGGGTCCTGGGATCAAGCCCCGCATCGGGCTCCCTGCTCAGCGGGGGGTCTGCTTCTCGCTCTCCCTCTGCTTCTCTCCCCCGCTCATGCTTTCTCTCTCTAAATAAATAAATAAAATCTTTTAAAAAATAAAATTTCAACATGAGGGATCTTGTGCTGTTGGAAATGTTCTGTATCTTGACTGTCACTCTGGATATCTTGGCTGTGATATTGGACCCCAGTTTTGTAGAATGTCACCATTGGAGGGAATGGGCGAGGGGTATGCAGTATCTCTCTGTGTGGTTTCTTACAACTGCATGAGAATCTGCAGTTTTTTCAGAAAGTTTAATTAAAAAAAAAAAATGAGAAGGAAAAAGCTCATGCCAACAGTACCAGGAGAAAATTCTCGAGATAGACTCTGGTTCGGCATGCTGTTTGTGATCCTGGTGCATTTTAGGAAGACAGCCTTTCTTAGAGTTTGGTTTGTAATCATCCAATATGGAAAGGAAAGGAATAAAACAATGACATCAATAGAGTGAACTTGTTTTGCTGACGTAAACTTGCTGCTCACCGGAACCTTCAATGAGAGATGGAGGATCGCCCTTGGTAGTACTCAGAGTCTATCCAGAAGAGATCCGCCCAACTGTGTGCTGGCTTGTCCTTACAAACGGGCCATGAAGGAGAAGCTGATAGGATCCCACTCTCCTGTGCTCCTAAGTCCCAGAAAGGAGATTAAGTGTGGCGTGGACACATTTCAAGATCTGAAAAGACTCTCCTTCAGTCAAACATTGAGCCCATCTCTGATGCTTTAAATGGTAAAAGGAGCTCAGCTTTTGACTTCTGCCCAGTTTCATGGTATCATCGGCAAACAGCTGGGCTAGAGCTAAGTACATGTGTGCAGAATACCGGGGTGGAAGTGTAGCCCACCCAGGGGTGGGGCATCAGAAGGACAGGACCCCAGGAAGGGCACAGGAAGCGACTAGCCGGTGACAGCACACAGCCCCTACTTCTGGGATGTTGGTCCCAGTGTCTAAGGAAATGCTCCTTTCTTGCCCTGCAGGTGAGGACAGTAGCATGACCTACCCTTGACATTGCTGGAAGGGAAGGAGATAGAGCAAAAGTCCAAGAAAAATGGCTAGAAATTCTATTATCGCCATCTGACATCTGACTTCTGGCCTATGGCTTCGGTGAGGGACAACTGAAACCAGGTAGAGATAAGGTACACCACAGTGTCCCTTCATTTTGTCCCTGAATGTGTGTCCCAGATATGGAGGAGAGGAGGTACGGACCCTCACACCCAGGGTGCAGCCCGAGACGATTCACTGCACACTACAAATGTCTTTGAGGCTGTATGTTTGCCTAAGACTCCATATCTGTTTTATCACTGTAAAAAATAATGTGCTGAATTATTCACCATCAAGCAACATGACCCTTCAGAGAGATGGCCATGCTCGACTCATGGCTTCGGGCAGAGAGGTCCTGTCATGCTGTCGCTGAGGGTCTGGGCTCTGGAAGCGACCTGTCTGGATTCAGGTCCTGCCTCTGCCTTTTGCTAACAGATGACCTAGAGCAAGTTCTTAATCCTTCTGTGCCTCAGTTTCCTTATCTATATAATGAGGATTATAGCAGTGCCTACTTCATAGCATTGTTGAGAAGCTTTAAAAAGTTAAAATGCATCAAATACTTGGAACACATGCTCAATAAATGTTCATTTTTCTCCTTATGAGTTACACTCTGGCATTTCCCACCTGTACCTAGATCCCACTTGAAAAGCA